TACATACAATGAGGGTACAGGTATCAGGTAAATACAGCCATTCCAAATGGGAGAAATTGGCCAAACAAAGGGGTTACAGGGCCCATGCAAGTCCAAAATCCAGCAGGGCAGTAACATTTTAAAGCTCCAGAATGATCTCCTTTGACTCCAGGTCTCACATCCAGGTCACACTGATGCAAGAGGTGGGTTTCCATGGTCTTGGGCAGCTCTGGCCCTGTGGCTTTCAGGGTACAGCCTCCGTCATGGCTGCTTTCATGGGCTAGCATTGAGTGTCTGCAGCTTTTCCAGTCACCTGGTACAAGCTGTAAGTTGACCTACCATTCTGGTGTCTGGAGGATGGTGGTCCTCTTCTCACAGCTCCACTAGGCGGTGTACCAGTAGGGACTCTGTGTGGGGGCTCCAACCCCACATTTCCCTTCTGTACTGCCCTAGCAGAGGTTCTCCATGAGAATCCTTCCCCTGTAGCAAACTTCTGCCTGGACATCTGGGCATTTCCATATATCTTCTGAAATCTAGGCAGAGGTTCCCAAACCCCAATTCTTGACTTTTGTGCACCTGCATGCTCAACATCACATGGAAGTTGCCAAGGCTTAAGGCTTTCACCCTCTGAAGCCACGCCCGAGCTTTATGTTGATCCCTTTCAGTCATGGCTGGAGTGGCTAGGAAACAGGGCACCAAGTCCTTAGACTGCACACAGCACAAGGACCCTGGGCCCTGCACACGAAACCATTTTTTCCTCCTAGATCTCCTGGTCTGCCATAGGAGAGGCTGCCACAAACATCTCTGACATGCCCTGGAGACATTTTCCCCATTGTTTTGGAAATTAACACTCAGCTTCTTGTTACTTACGCAAATATCTATAGCCAGCTTGAATTTCTCCTCAGAAAATGGGATTTTCTTTTTTATCGCATTGTCAAGCTGCTAATTTTCTTAACTTTAATGCTCTGCTTCCCTTTTAAAACTGAATGCCTTTAATAACATTTGAGTCACCTCTTGAACGCTTTGCTGCTTAGAAATTTCTTCCACCAGATACCCTAAATCATCTCTCTCAAGTTCAAAGTTCCACAAATCTCCAGGGCAGGGGCAAAATGCCACCAGTCTCTTTGCTAAAACATAACAAGAGTCACCTTTGCTCCAGTTCTCAATAGGTTCCTCATCTCCACCTGAGACCACCTCAGCCTAGATTTTATTGTCCATATAATTATCAGTATTTTTGTCAAAGCCACTCAACAAGTCTAGAGGAAGTTGCAAACTTTCCTATTTTCCTGTCTTCTTCTGAGACCTCCAAACTGTTTCAATCTCTGCCTATTACCAAGTTCCAAAGTTGCTTCCACATTTCCCGGTATCTTTTCAGCAATACCCTACTCTACTGGCACCAATTTACTGTATTAGTCCATTTTCATGCTGCTGATAAAGACTTACCTGAGACTGAGAAGAAAAAGAGGTTTAATTGGACTTACAGTTCCACAAGGCTGGGGAGGCCTCAGAAACATGGCAGGAGGTGAAAGACACATCTTACATGCTGGCCGCAAGACAAAACGAGTAAGATGCAAAAGCAGAAACCTCTGATAAAACCACCAGGTCTCGTGAGAGTTATTCACTACCATGAGAACAGTATGAGAGAAATTGCCCCCATGATTCAGATTATCTTCCACTGGGTCCCTCCCACAACATGTGGGAATTATGAGAGTACAATTCAAGATGAGATTTGGGTGGGGACACAGAGCCAAACCATATCAGGTTGTTTAGGTTTCCACACTTTAACTCTATGTATAATGCTGCACCCAAGATAACTCTTCTATTCCATGAATCGGGGCTATGCATCAACAGAACTTTAACAAAGAAAGTAAACTCATTTTTGAATTTTAAGATCACTCTGGCATTCTGTTTTGAGGTCTGCTAAATTTGCAATGCTGGGTGAAGATGACGTCACAATAAAACCAATGTTGAAAGACACCAAGAGACTGTAACTAGTTGAAATTTCATTTTCCCTTTATAATTTATTTGCCACAATTTTAAATACTGTAGACCATACAGAATCTGTTTTTTCTGCCCCAAAATGGGAGTCTGTTAACAGACTCAGTCCCAACCTGGTTCAGGACAAGCTTGTGTCATTCAGAAGTAGATCACAGAGCAGGTTGCACCCATGCCTTTGCCAGCATAAAGAAGTTGACTCTTTGGGGGTATCAAGGCTCCTCTCATGTTCTGTCACATTAAGGTAAAAACTGAGAGACCATAGCAAGGGCCCCTATCTAGACAAAACCTGATCATCTTATCTTGGACAAATTTCTCTTTCTATAGCTTGTGGTAGACAAAATGTGCCCATCGAAGATGTCAACACCCAAATACCTGCAACCTTTGAATATATTATATAGGAAAAGGGACCTTACTGTTATAATTAAGATTATAGATTTTTAAAATAGGAAGATTACCCTGGATTTCTGGGTGGGTCCGATCTAACCACATGAGATCTTAAAAGCAGTGAACTCTCGCTAGGGCAAGAAAGATATGGCAGAAGGGGAATTCAGAGAGATTGAAAGCACGAGATTCATCTACCAATGCTGAAGAGGCCCACAGGGGAATTCAGAGAGATTGAAAGCATGAGATTCATCTACTAATGCTGAAGAGGGCCACACAGAAAGTATGAGAAGGAATGTGGGCAGATTCTAGAAACAAAGGCTAGCCCACAGCTAACAGCCAGCAAGGAAATGGGGAACTCAGTCCTACAACTGCAAGGAACTGAACTGAAATCTACCATCAACCTTAATGAAGTTGAAAGAACTGTTATTTAGGGACTTCCCCTTACAGCCTCTAGCTAAGAGCCCAGCTCAGTTGACAATCTGATTTCAGCCTTGTGAGGCTTTAAGCAGGGGACCCAGTTGAACCATATTGTGCCTAGATTTCTGTGCCATGGAACTGTGAGATAATAAATGGGTGTTGTTTTAAGCTACTAAGTTTGTAGTAATTTGATCTAGCAGTAATAGAAAATTAGTATGTAAACTTTTTTTAAAAAAAGCAGAATTTGCAAGCAAATGTGACTTTGAGCATAATTCTTTTTCTTCATTGCAAATATGTGATGTAGGAGTCTTTGAGTTATTTGCTTAACAGTGATAAACTATACTTCTATCTGTGCTCCTCAGTATTTGGTTGCATTAATTGAAAGATTGAGGTTCTACTTAGGGGATTTTTTTCCTCCAAGTCCTTCTAGAATACCCTAGAATGGAGAATGAATCTTAGGAGATCAGGACTGCAGCATGAAGATGAATTATCAAGCTACTGTACTAATCCAGCTGAGGGATGATAGGACAGGGTTAGCTGGTATGGAAGAGTCAGACTGGAGAGGGGGACATTTATGTTGATTCCTAATAGTTCAAGAATGGCTTACTAGGTGGACGGTGGGGTGGTAAGGAGGAGGTAAATGGATATTGAAAACTGAAGCTCTGCTGATTCTCAAATTAGTCACTCCCATTTGGGAATTAACATGTAAGTTGATAAAATCATGTCAGTGGAGATTACCCAGGAGATACTTATGGATTTGTTTTAAAATATAAAACATAAAAGGAGGAATGAGGAAGTATTACATATAGCAATTAATAGAGAGGAGATTCTGTTGCTTGGGACTGGAGAGAGAAAAATGAAGAGGCTTAGAAAAGATGAGAAAGATGTTGGCTAAGTTAGATTTGATACATCGCAAATGAACTTTAAAAAGTGGTATATGGTCTCTTTTTGTATTAGTCCATTTTCACACTGCTATAAAGAACTACCTGAGAGTGGGTAGTTTATGAAGAAATGAGGTTTAACTGACTCACAGTTCTACACAGTGGGAGAGGCCTCAGGAAACGTACAATTATGGTAGAAAGCAAAGAAGCAGCAAGGACCTTCTTCATAAGACAGCAGGAGGTGTGGAGGAAGTGCCACACTTTTAAACCATCAGATCTCATAAGAACTCACCATCACGGGAACAGCATGGGGGCAATCACTCCCATGATCCAATCACCTCCCACCAGGACCCTCCCTCGACATGTGGGAATTACAATTTGAGATGAGATTTGAGTGAGGACACAGAGCCAAATCACCTCACCCTTAGATGGAAAAAAAAAAATAAGTAGTGGGAAGGCATGAAGCTAGAAAAAGTTCTTGTTAGCTATCAGGGAACACTGCCAGTCCAGGACAGCTAGATTCCTGTCTTTGTGAATAATGATGATGGTGGAATTGGCTACAGAAGACAGAGGCACAGGGAAAAGTGATAGTGTTCAAACCAGCCATGTGCGCATAGGAAGCTTCACAAGCTGGTGTCTGTAATTTGGGGAGTATTAATATTGTGTTCCTCTTGGGTATATTATTCATTCAGTAAAAATTTAGCTATTTACAAAATCATTTACAGAGAAATTGGAGATTCTTTCAATCCCCTATTTCTGTGAAAACATTGCAGTTGTACTAAGACTGAAAAATCCTAGTTAGCTTATACAGGAGCTACCTATGCATTGAACAGTTTCCTCATGAAAAGCTCACAATGACTATTCTTGATACCCTTTGCTGATCTGAATCTGTGAAAGTATTTGACAGTTGCACAAAGCAGCAGAGAGAGAAAATAAGTTGCCCACACACAAGAACCTAAGAGGGCTCCCTGCTGAACCACCAGTTGTGGAGAAAGCAGCCAACCAGGGGAAGAACCATTCAGGACAGAATGTTCCTCATTTTTCCAGCTGATTTAGATGGACTAAAAAAGAATTAAAATTCAACCCATTCCAAAGCACCAAATAATAATTTTAGGCTGTGGAACTAGATGCTATACTTTCACTCTCTTTCCTAACGTCTTTGTTTTGGCTAAGAATAAAAACAGCTGTCAAGGTTCCCTCTCTCAGACTCTGTTAACACACCTAGTCCAAAGGCGCATGTGTGTCATGTCTCTAATATATTTTATTGCTGTCTTTTAAAATTCCCCTTAAGACGCTGGCCCAATATTGTTGCATTCAACCACATTTCTATCACAAGGATTAAAAAGAACTTAAGTATAATTTTATTGTATTCTGCATCAGTGCCATACACACACACAAAAATGTTTGGATAAGTTAATAAGTTATAACATTCTATGTTTTAATATTAATAACAAGGACATAAATGATCATTTCCTGAGTTAACAGTGCAATGTAAAATTTAATCTGTATTGCTAATAAGACATTTTACAGCATAGAAACATGATCGAAGTGATCATTTACTTTATCATGTCATAAAACACAAGGGCTTATTGTAGAACACTGATATAATTTAAATGGCAAGGAAATTTGTGATTCATAACAAAGAATCCTGTATGTATTTGTTGCCATGATTAACTGTCCAGGTCAAATATCAGTAGTAAAATAAGTTATGGTACAAAAGAAAGCCAAGAAGTCACCTATACAGAAGGAACATTTGATTTCATTTAAGAAACTGAAGCCTGGATTCTAGTTAACCTTTTATTATGTACAAAAATGTTCCCTTAAAAAACCCTAAGCAATCACAAATTTAGATAAACTAGTTGAATAAAGGACAATGACAGCTCTTCATTATGCTGTAAAACTATGGATCTCATTTTTGGAAAAGTTGAGATCCTGCAGCAACCTGAAAAACAAACAAAAAGCACATGTTTCTAAGGGGAAATGTTTTAAAATGAAGGAATAAGAGCAGCTTACCACCATAATCATGATACTTTTTCATTCTCCCCATTTACTATGCAGTTTTGTTTAATAAAAAAACACTATCACTTCTTAAAAAATTAGTGATTAGTAACTCCTAAATATCATGAAATATCTAGGCAGTGCTCAAATTTTCAACTATATCATAAATGCCATAATTTTAAAAAATAGTTTCAATCAAGACCCAATTAAAATTTACTCATTATGATTGGCTGTTAAGTCTTTCAGGCATCTTTTGATCTATAAGATCCCCCAGATCCCCACTCCATCCTGCAATTTATTTGTTGACAAAAATCAGATTTTTATTTGTTGAGTCTCCTAAAACCTTCATTTTTCTACATCCCTGTGGTATTGCTTAATAATATGTATCTACGTCCTCATATTTTCCATAACTTAATAAATAGATCTAGAGGCTTGATCAGACACAGGTTCAAATCTTTTTGACAAGACTATTTCATAGGTAATGTTCCTCTATCTGGAGGCATGTAATAAATGGTTGCCTTTCTTTTTGGATGCTAGGTACCATTATGATCTATGTATAGATCCATTAGTCAATTAAGCACTGCAATTGGTGATATTCTACTTCTATCATTCTTTATTCATTAATCAGCTGAGGAATCCTATAAAGAAAAATGTCTGCTGATTTATTATGTGGTTATTCAGTAGTATGGCTCATATAGCAAAGGGAGCATAAATGTTTGATTTTTTTCCCCTTTATTCATCAGTTTTCAAAGAAAGGAATTGATTCCCCTACTATTCTATCTTCATTCTCCCCCTACTGAACGGGAAAAGTAGAAATACTGCATATTATTCAACTAGGAAAATAGTGCAATAACTACTTTTTTACCAATTACTCTATTGTATGTAGTCACTTTGCTAGGCACTTCACATACTTATGTATTATTATTTATTCATTTTTACAGACAAGTGCACTAAAACTCAGAAAGGTTAAGAACTGCCCTAGGACACGCAGCAAATGATTGTAAGATGCCTGTAAGTGGTAGACCTGGGATTTAAGCTGCAGCTGGCAGCTCCCAGAGGGGATACACATACTCACACAAAGGGCCAGTAGGGCACAGGAGTTGAGGCCAACACAGTGCAGCAGTAAAGCCTCTCAGCGTCTGGGCCCACGCTACCATTCTATCCTGTTCTGCCAGGCAAGCAGCTTCACCCGAGCCAAACCAGTCTAGGCTTTTGTATAAATCTGCACCCCTAACGCATCTGCTAGTTCTCTCTGCCTGTACTATCCCCTTCTCCATCTCTCTTGACTGCTAGATTTTAGTCCACATGCAGTGCACATGACTTTTTTGACCATGCAGCTCCTGTCTCTCCTACACACACATCGCTAGGTAAGAGTAACCCATCTCTCCCAGAACTCCCATTACATCTTGATTTTATCTCTAGTAAGATATTTATGGTGTTCTGAGTCATACTTTAGTTATGAGTATGTGCATCTGTTTCTACCACTAGATAGTGTGGTCCTTGAAAGGAGAGATTGTTTTACTAATCTCTGTAATAAAGTGCATATTTAGTGGATAAAGAACCATTATTGGCCAAGTAATGGTAAGTTGCTTTTCTCTATTTTTTAAAAAATAGGTTTCTGATTCTTTCTGTTATCATACTACACAAATCGACAAGTGTTCACCAAATATGGAGGCGAGGTCTGGGGTGGCTGTATTTACAATCTGATCTATGTAGCAGACATGAGATTAACTTCGGAGAACTCTAGGAGTCGACATTACAAGAAAGACTCATTTTTCAGAACAGCAAAAACTGTAATAAGAAACCCATATAATTGCCAATCAAGAAAAATAGACCACATCCATCAAGATGAGGATAAGGAAACCAAAGAAACGAGTCCTAACTGAAAGTCACAAGGGTAGCTACTATGAATTTTAAGTACTGATTTGAATCCAGTTACATCTCAAAATGCAACTCTATGTAGTATGTTCAGGAGTGAGTAATAGCAGGAATCCATACGTAATGATTAATAAATACTCCTGAGCAACTCTGGGTAAGCCAGTTAGCACAGCCTTGAAAGACTGGCTCTGAGGTAAAAGTGAGAAAAGAAAGCTATATAGGTTCTGCTCAATTTTTTTTTTTGAGATGGAGTTTTGCTCTTGGTGCCCAGGCTGGAGTGCAATGGCATGATCTCGGCTCACTGCAACCTCCGCCTCCTAGGTTCGAGCGATCCTCCTGCCTCAGCCTCCCAAGTAGCTGGGATTACAGGCGCCCACCACCATGCCCGGCTAATTTTTGTATTTTTAGTAGAGACGGGGTTTCACCATGTTGGCCAGGCTGGTCTCGAACTCCTGACCTTAGGTGATCCACCTGCCTTGGCCTCCCCAAGTTTATGGTCAATTTTGAAAATGCAAAAATGATTCTAATTATTTAAAAGTATTATACTGCAATCTATAAAGTACTCACTGAGATATTTCTAAAATAGCAGAAGCAATACAGTAGAAGACAGTACAGCTCTTAGCCTTTTTTCCTAAAAAAAATTTTATATTCAAACTATGTTAGTCTTCATTGTAATTTTAATAGTTTTGCTAGAGCTTTAAAAGAGCAAAAGTTTACATAGAAACTTGAAAAATCTTTTTAAGTTGAGAGAGTTTAACTAAAAGAACATTTTTTTTTAAAAATTTATTTATTATTATTATACTTTAAGTTGTAGGGTACATGTGCATAACGTGCAGGTTTGTTATATATGTATACTTGTGCCATGTTGGTGTGCTGCACCCATCAACTCGTCATTTACATCAGGTATAACTCCCAATGCAATCCCTCCCCCCTCCCCCCTCCCCATGATAGGCCCCGGTGTGTGATGTTCCCCTTCCCAAGTCCAAGTGATCTCATTGTTCAGTTCCCACCTGTGAGTGAGAACATGCGGTGTTTGGTTTTCTGTTCTTGCGATAGTTTGCTAAGAATGATGGTTTCCAGCTGCATCCATGTCCCTACAAAGGACACAAACTCATCCTTTTTTATGGCTGCATAGTATTCCATGGTGTATATGTGCCACATTTTCTTAATCCAATCTGTCACTGATGGACATTTGGGTTGATTCCAAGTCTTTGCTATTGTGAATAGTGCTGCAATAAACATACGTGTGCATGTGTCTTTATAGCAGCATAATTTATAATCCTTTGGGTATATACCCAGTAATGGGATGGCTGGGTCATATGGTACATCTAGTTCTAGATCCTTGAGGAATCGCCATACTGTTTTCCATAATGGTTGAACTAGTTTACAATCCCACCAACAGTGTAAAAGTGTTCCTATTTCTCCACATCCTCTCCAGCACCTGTTGTTTCCTGACTTTTGAATGATCGCCATTCTAACTGGTGTGAGATGGTATCTCATTGTGGTTTTGATTTGCATTTCTCTGATGGCCAGTGATGATGAGCATTTTTTCATGTGTCTGTTGGCTGTATGAATATCTTCTTTTGAGAAATGTCTGTTCATATCCTTCTCCCACTAAGAACATTTTTCTTAAAGTATTAAAATACAGAAATATATTTAATTAAAAATAAAATACATTTTAAATTCAACATGGAAGAATAAAAGTTTTTAATGCCTTTATTTATTGATTGGGGGGTCAATCTTTTCTATAATTAAAATTTTAAATAAAAATGCAAGATATAAGATTATCTATGAGGACTAAACTCTGATTTTTTTTTTATCTTGCCCAAATTCCTATCTAAGGGGTCTAGGAAGTCATGCCCTACAAACTATAAATTCTCATCAGATGTGTTTTATTTAACCCTATATATCATGACTTACTTTCCAACCTGACTCTGACATAACATTATGAGACAAGGAAGAAAATAAAAATATTTTACCCCAAAACAAGTTTCTTTGCCGTATCTTGAAATGGCCCTGCAAATCTGTCCTTTATGGGGGAAAATCTGCATCTGTAAAGAATCCTATCAACATAGCTAGATCTTTTTCTTCCAGGCGAGTCCAATCCTGAAGAGGTTAACTAAGAGTCTAGTACCTTTTAAAGGTCTGAATAGGAAACACTGTCATCTATTATCTCTAAGGGCAGAGACCTTAAGACTTCCAAAGAACCTTGGTCTCCACAATCTTTTATCTTAATCTGAACATTCCCTTTCTATGGATCTCAGGTCTTTAGACAAACTCAACCAATTGTCAACCAGAAAATGTTTAAATTTACCTATAGCCTGGAAACTCGTGCTCCCCGGCAACCCAGATTTGAGTTGTTCCGCCTTTCTGGACCAATCAATGTATTTCTTAAACGTATTTGATTGATGTCTCATGCCTCCCTAAAATGTATCAAACCAAACTGTGCCCTGACCATCTTGGGCACATGTTCTCAGGACCTCCTGAGAGCTCACAGGCCATGGTCACTCATATCTGGCTCAGAATAAATCTCTTCAGAGAATTTAGGGAGTTTGACTCTTTTCGCCAACATCTAGAAACGTTAGGCTTAGTCACCCACTAAATAAGAATAGGGCACTGAAAACAGCTATATTTTAAAATCATCTAGAAATCCAACAGGGGTTATCTTTAACCAAATATTTTAAAGAGCCATTTTAAAGCTAAATCACATCAAAGTGAATTTCAAACAGGATCGCCACCAACACTGCTTTTTCATGATCCAGGCTTCAACTATTAGTCTTGCCTTATTTGTGTTCTAGTCTCCCCTTTTTGTCTTGCTGCTTGGCTTTTGACCACATATATTATTTACTTTCACTCAGTTACAGAGAATGAAGATCAAAAGCTACAATGAGATGAACATTCCTTATTAATTACTATATATTATAAAGCTTTGATGGAAGAAGAGGTTGGGGCCTAATGTCCCAAATAAGATTGTGGCACTAATCTTGTGAGTGTATCCATATTGGCAGCCATTAGCAGAGAACACTGATTGCTAGCTGTAACTTACTTTTGTGTTTTATCTAACAATATGCATAATCCTAGCCTCCAACTCAAACTATACGAAGATTTAAAGACTTTGTTATTTTCTAAAACTGTAAGATTATTAAAGTGCAGGTTCATATCAATAGGAAGAACTGAGAGATGCTTGTCATGAAAGATCTTCATTTCAGTATTGGGCAGTCTGTTTCCTACTACACTGCTACTCACCTTACTCCTTGTTCTGTAAATGGCACTGGTCCACAAATGCAGACGAGAACTTTGGATTTGTCCAAATTTCTTTTAAAAAATTCAGAAAGAAGAACTGGTGAAATATGTCCCTGTTTGCCATTCCATTCAGAAATAGGTGCTGAGAGAACAAATTCAACATCCAGTCTAGGGAAAAGAAAAACAGTTTTTTAAAGTTTATTATTTTAAACATATTATTAACATGTTTCTAGTTCAATAATGTATTTCTCCCCTAAAGAATAATTTAATATATAAAGACTGATACATTTGCTAGAAAAACACTGAAAAAAATTATAAGATTTAACAAAAACATATACGTAAATCTATATTTACTAAGGATTAGCTTTTCCTATACATTAAAGAATGTAATTTGGCATTTTTTTTTTAAGTTGAACTAATTAACCAAGCATGGTAGCTCACACCTGTAATGCTAGCATGTTGGGAGGCCACGGCGGAAGGACTGTTTGAGAACAGGAGTTTGAGATTAGCCTGGGCAACACAGTGAGACCTAGTTTCTACAAAAAACAAACAAACAAACAAAAAAACAAAAAAAACCCCCAAAAAAACAAAAATAAAAAATGTTTAAACTTAGCCAGGTGTGATGGTATGTGCCTATGGTCCTAGCTATTTGGGAAGCTGAGGCAGGAGGATCGTTTGATTCAGTGAGCTATGATTGCATCAGCTTGGGCGACAGAGCAAGAACCTGTCTCTTAAAAAAGAAATTAATTAAAAATAAATATATAAATGAAATAGAGATTCCAAGGGATCTCAGAGAACTCCACATTTCTATTAATAATTTACTGGTATTGAAAAAAAAGAACAAATATTGCATGTTCTCACTTATAAGTGGAGCTAAACCCTGTGTATACAAGAACATAAAGATGAGAACAATGGACACTGGGGACTCCAAAAGGAGGGAGGTGTAGGGAAAGGGGCAAGGGCTGAAAACCTCCTAGTGTGTACTATGTTCACTGTCTAGGTGACAGGATCAACAGAATTCCAGATTTCAGCATCACACAATATATCCTTGAAAGAAATCTGCACATTTACCCCTGAACCCAAAATAAACAATAATAATATGCTGGTATAAATCACAGTAAATAGCAATTACCAGTGACACGTGTATTTTAATCTCTGGCTCAAACCTCTCCAATGATTTCCAGACCCTTACAACCAGTTTGATTAAGAAGCCTATTTGACTTCTTACTGTCACTGTCTCAAAGGCCCTCAACCTCAACCTCAACCTCATGATCTCTGTAACTGGCACCACAGTCTGCTTGGTTTTACAAGCCAGAAACCTGGGATTTATCCTGGGAACCTCTCTCTATCTCACCCTCTGTATCCAATTCATCACCAAGTCCTGCTCTAACTCTGTTTACCTCTTAGCCTTCACTGCCATAACACTGCCTGTTCTCTTTCTTCTTTCTGTAATGAGATTACCACTCCCATTTTTCAGTTTTCAGCTCAAGCATCAGGGAATCCACAGGGAAGTATTGCACCTCCACAAGGCTGAGGTCCTTTGTTTCATGTGTTATAGCAATGTTTCCTTTTCCTTTTCTTCATAGCCATTTACTTCAGATTTTAAATATGTTGTCACTAAGCTGATTACCTATTGTCTACCTTCTCCAATAGACTCTAAACTCCATGAGAACAGGGACCATGTCTGCTTTAGCTATCACTGTATCCCTAACATACAGGAGGTACCCACATACTACGGAATGAAAAAGATGAAAGCAAAAGGGTACAGGATTAAAACAAAGTCTCACAATGTAACAACAGACCATTTCTTCCCATGGGCTTAGTAATCTGTTATACAAATTGCTGGTGAAAAGCCACAGTAAATTCAAAATTCTATGTTTTACCTGCTCTGTCTGCTCTGTTTTAGCAAACAAAACTAATTCTTACCATTTCAATAGCATCAAATTGAAAGCAGTTCTACATGTTCCAGTGAGTAACTGAGTAGCAGGAATTCATGATACATTAATTTAAACCACACGAAAAAGCTGAAGTGAACAGTTTCTCTTATGAGGGGACAAAGGAAGTAAATATGAAAACAGAAACAAGGTATGGCTGGTACAGCTGCCCTCACATTGCTGTGCCTCAGCTGGATTAAGTTTCCCAAGAACTAAGGAGCCTGGCACAAGCAGCACAGACCAAATAAGAGACCAAATAAGAGCAGCAGCAGGGGGCGAGAGAACCAGCCTCAGCTCTCTACACAGACTCCAGCCTCTAGGTCTTGTCCATTTGTGGAATGAGGTTGGGAAATGAGTCATCTCTTACATTTCTAATATTCTTTGATTTTATATTAAAAACACCTACAGGACTATGTTTTATTTCTTATCTTCAAGCTTCCCATTTAGTATCAGCAGCAACGCTAATCCACTCTATAGCCTCCCCAAAGGCTAATCCACAAAATAGCCTCCCCAAAGATATTCGCTATTTTTACCTTCCAAGCATTTAAAACTAAGATAGTTTTAAATAACCTCAGGATGTGATATTTACTGCTTCATGAGGGCAAGGTCCTTGTCTGTCTTGTTCAATACTGTATCCAGGCTTTGCTCAATAAAGTACACAAAAAAAATGCCTTTTGAATAAAGAAATGTATTTACAAAGAGGCCATGTTGGCTAAAAATAAAAATTGTACTTAAAAGAACAAAGCCATGTGCTGGCATCCATAAAATTACATATAAAAATGTATGTGAATTCATAAGTGTGTTTTTCTGGGGAAAAAAATCATAATCTTTCTTTCATCAGATCAAAGGGCCAAAAGCAGCCATAAAACCACTGTCTTAAATTTCCAATTATACATAGATACTTGAATAAAATGTGGAAACTGTCCTGTTAAATTAAAGGATAAAAGATGCTCTCCTGTGGCTCTATTTCAAATGAGCCTATAACTGGAATAAAACTGCTAAATTAATACTGAAGTTTCTGTAGTCTGCCACAAGTACCTAGTCATAATTTTCCTTCACTGGGAGGCTTTATAAAAAAGCCTAATCAGTGATATACTTTCTGCAGGTATCTACTAAATGGTGATAAATAACAGATCCTTACATAAACGGTATAAACTTCTCATGTATTTTGTATTTATTCATATAATGGTCCCTTGACTATAATTTATGCACTCAATGGAAAAGGTGAACAGAAAGCACAGCTGCAATTTAAGGATATTGTAAAGAGGCTGTTATCCTGCTTATCTCCTTTTCATAGGCTGAGAAAAGAGCTTAATCTGGAACAGGAGCATTCCCAAGTTAAGACTCAATAATTCTTTAATGAAAGATTTTTTTATATCAAAATATAGATAATTCCTGTGGAATCCTCTCTCCTGGGTTTTCTGAATGAAGGTCAACTTACTGTCTAAAGTAATTACAGCTTTGAGATGCTGGAGACACGTGAGGGCACACAGTAAACATCCTGAAATTCCTCTATAATTTCAAAAGTGCCAAAAGGGGTTGGGACTCTTGAAAAGGTTACCTGAAAATAAATTCAGATTAACCCATAAAATACAAACTAATATGAAAGAGGGAGAGAACAGACCTGCTTCTGATGAGTGCCTATGCGATCTTAAATGTCAGTCTAAGTAAGCTTGCCAAAAAATTTATTTTAAGGTAGGCTGACAGTGATTTGAAATGACAGGTCTTGAAATACAAATGTATTCATTTAGTCTAAATCATTAGCAGTCATCCAACGACTTATTCCTTCCTCCTCTAGCCAATCAGCTTCGGCAACTTACCTCCTTCATATTTCTCACACAAAGTCCCTTACCTTCCCATTTTTAATGTCACAACTCCAGATCAGGTTCTTATATCTCTTCTCTAAAATATTACATTAACAGCCTTAGACCTTAATCTATTTGATATACCACTGCCATATTAGTTCCCCTAAAAATCCTGATACAACTTTGCAACCTTTTTGCTTAAAAGCTTCAGTGATTCCTCACTGCCCACAGATTAGTATTTCAGCTTTTCCTATTTTTTTTTTTTCTAGCTAAAGAAAATGTCTGCAACTGTAGTAAAAATTGCTACGTGCTCACAGGAAAAAAATCTCACAAAACTAGGAATCAAAATTAGATAAAACATATATAATTATGGAAACATTTTAAAAAATGAATCTAATGAAAGGAAACACTAGTATGCCTCCAGATGTTAGCAGTTATTCCATGGAAGCAGGCTAACTATCAAATAAATCTGTGACATACTGGGTTCAAAAAAGTTAAATATATTTCCTTAGAATTTCAGAAAGCCTTAAATATGCTAAGTTCAGAGTAAATCTCCAAGAAGGCATATACTATTTCCCAAATTTATTCAATCATAGAGTCCATTCTGGGGAATACATTAACATTTCAAAGCACATATTCCAAGCAACACAACATCTGAGGAACATCTCCTGGAAGAAACCAAAAGTGCTATAAGGTTCCAGATTAGTGGGCTGCCTATCTGGGTACATAAGAGGTTAGGGAAAAAGAAACAGTTTCAGGTATCCTCTTTCATTTACTTCTGCTTCTGGCATCATCAGCTTAAATGGAACTGCCATACTGCTAGCCCCAATACTGACATCAGAAGACAAAAACATATAGTTCACAGAGCCTGTCAGCACTACAGGGAGATGAGCCGCAGAGTGTCACTGTGCCTTCTTCCTGTGTCTATCTGATATATAATATTTACTTCACATATCGATTACATTCAAGGTCTTTCATCACCTGATTTTAGCCTAGCTTGTTTCCTCAACTGTAAACAAAAAGGATCAGAAATGATAACTATGAAGATTCCTTCTAAAACTGATATAAGGTTTAATGGGTTTATTTTTAGTTATTCTGCATCATTCTCCTTCATGCACAGTATTTATTTCAAAAAAACAACTCTACTCTGTTATTAAAACACTAGAATATACTGGCCCTCATGTCTTATGCAATCCCACTACCCAAATTTATTTTCCCACTCAAAGAAATGCTAATCATTTCCCAAAGCCCAGCTCAAAAGCCCCTTCTTCCATGAAGCTCTGATATTCCTACCCTCAGAAAAATGGAATAAAATTCTTTTCACTAGATAGCTATGGTATGTTTTTTGTTCCTCTCAAGGCACAGACTTTACAGTCACTGATGTACTTTAGAACTTCACCACCACTAGGGTAGTCTTACTGATTTCTTA